AGGGAGGAGGGACAGCGCAGGAGGGGAAGACGCTCTATGAGGTGGATTGATTCAGTGACTGGAGTAATCGGGATGGGTGTGTCGGAGGCAATGCGGTTGGCACAGGATAGAGCAGGGTTTAGGGCTGTTGTACATAGGGTCGCTATGAGTTGCAAATGACTCGACGGCACATAACAACAACATATTTCAAATGTGGAAATCTAGAACATCTCATCATTGAATATGTTTTCTGAATTGGGTAAAATCAGCAGTACCACCTTACCAACTTCAGTCTAAAGCAGACCATTCACGAGCATTACAAGCAATCACATATGGCTGCATTTTTAAGCTACTGTATTTTCAGATGTTTCATTTAAAAGCTAACAAATGAAAGTCCTTTTGTGGCAAAATAAATTAAGCCCCTGGTTACTAACCAAAGGTTAGGCTTTCTAATCCATGCAGAAGTGCCTCAGAAGAAAAGCTTAATATATATACAATAAATATATAAAATCCCTGAGAACTCCTATAGATTTCCTTCTAGGAAACAAAGTGTTTCCTTTTCTAAGAGAAATTAATTCTGCTTTCTTAAAGTCTGCTCTCAAAAGTACACAATCTTTATTCTATACATCAGAATATTGGCACACTAAGCTGGGCTAAGCAAGGAACTTAAAAAGAAGTATTTGGCAAAAGATGATTCTGAATATTTGGTATCCGAGGTCATTTAAGCAGTATACTGACTACATAATACAAAGGACCCAAGGCATACACATTACACTGTTTCCCTTTCAAGAGTATCTTCATTTCTAAACAAATTATAAAACAATTAGATTTTCTAGATAAAGTAAGGAGAAACTATGTCTTCTCCATTTCTCCCTGCTCCCACTCCAAATCATTCTTTCATGGAAAATGCAGGAACTTTTCTAATTAATTAGTCAGAGAAAAGAAACTGAGTATGCTTCACTTGAACCCTCTGGATCCCTTCTCTTTACAACTGTTTGCTTAAAAGTACATTCTGATCTGTTAACATATGCAGTAACTTTAGCTAGCAAAGCAACTAAAGAAAACTTTTAACACAAAAGACAAGAGGACATAACACACGAAAGAAATCAGAAGAAAAAAATGCAAAGGACAAAAGAGAAATCTTTTTAACAAATTGTAACATCCTCAGACAACAAAAGATGTGCACAGAAAAGATCAAGATTTATTTTCAAAAAGAAGATTATTGAAAGGAAAGAGGAGTTTAAGAGATTAAAAATAGCAGAAATACAAAACTGTATAGGACTAAAAGATGTAGTTAAGCAAAAAGTACAATAAAAAAAAGATAAATGAAACAATAAAAATTAACTAGAGGATTAACCTAGGGAGATTGACATCTTAAAACTAAATTATTGAAAGACAACAGAAAAGAAACAGTATTCAGCAAAAAGGATTAAAGGAACACTGAGATCAAGGAATATTTACTTTAAAATTTCAGAATCTTAAGGATGAAAGACCCTAAAGTATATATGATAGAAAAGAAGCCATGTAAAAATCACTGAGGAATCATTCATAATGGTATCAGATTTCTCAACAGTAATTGGGTGGGGAGGATAGGTGGAGGATTAATGCTTTCAAAATTAAGACTTAAAATATTTCCAATCAAGGATTCTTTACCCAACCAAATTAAAAATCAGAAGCCACTGTAGAATAAAGATAATTTTATATACAAGCCTACCAAACTGCTTCTTCCCATTAATCCGTTACCAGAAAGCTACTAAAAATGCACTCTACCTAATAAAGGAGTAAAAACAAGGCTCTAAGACAGAAGGAAGGGAAAGGGAATTCCTAGCATAACAGCTGGGCTGTTCAAACTTAAACTGCAGAATTGAAGTCTCCAGGTGGTGTTTTTAAGGGGTAAAAATGAAATTAATCAAGCAGTAAACTGTTTGAACATAAGGCATAAGCATCTGCACTTCTGTTGAAGAAAATGCAAGGAGAAATTAGAAATACATACATGAAGTCAGACAAACAAAAAGTGATATTATTATTAACTTCAGGGAAAGGAGAAAGATTTACAAAACATAAAAAGCAATTACAGGCTGTTTTATTCTTCAGTTGTAATGGCTGACAAAATAATGTAAACACTGGTTACTGATTTCATCTAATCACTGAGGATATACTACATTAGGAATAAAGTTCTCTATTATGTAAAGTATTACCTTAAAGGTAGATAATTATCTATTATCTAGGTATTATCTAAAACACAAAATTAGAAACAGTACTTTCAAACTTTCGAGAGTCTCTTCATTCCAAAAATCACATACTTATTCTAATTTTTGAAGTTTCTTTTTATATACTCTACCATCTCAATAAATCTATAGCTCTCAAGTATGTAATGTTATGTGCAAATATGGAAATAAATATTAGAAGATACATTTCAAGAATGTGAGATGAGTGAGGTTGGAAGCTCGGGTGGTTACTACTAAGGTAGCTATAATAGTAAAATTTGATTCTTTAAACTATATACAGGAAATGCTGTTACGTGCTCTAGAGCGGGCTTCAACTCATAATGACCACATGTACATCAGAACTAAATGTTGCCTGATCCAGCCTTATCTTCACAGTAATATACAATGTGTATTACACTATATAAATTTTTACTGTACATTAACAAAAATCAAATTTAATATAAAGGAAAACTTGCTGATTCAATTGCAAGGCAAAAAATAGTAGAAGCAAAATATTATCTACCTCAAAATATAAACCTTAAGTAATTCTACTTAAATTTGTCCCTAACAACTGAAACTTGACTCCCCTATTAAAATGTCTTCTGGGTAATAAACTCAGAGAGGATATAATTACATTTCATTTGATTACACCTTAAAAAAATAACTAGTAGCCAAGAACTACTGGCCAACTTCAAGAAAGTTAAGAATTAGCACCATGAAAGCTAAATATTCAAAAAGTGGGACAGAGAAAAATCAGTCTCTTCTAAAAGAAGTCACAATGCTTTACAATAAAGAACATCAGATCTTTTCTAAATAAGTGAACACAATCAAGAACAGCTATTTTTATATTAAAAATGGAAATGAATTGTAATTATGTCACAATAAATATGTACGGTATTCATTCACTTCCTTTTCTTCTGGTATTCCCTCCTTAAAAAAAAAAACACACCTATTTTCTTCATTATCACACTAGTCTCCTCCTCCAAACTTCACAAAACAGTATTTCCTAGTACAGAAATAACAACAATCTGTCTTAAGAAAGCCTAGGATTCCCTTGCTTCAAATTGCCAAATACAACCTAAAGAAGAAAGGAATTTCATACAAATTGAATGAATTGTCACCTTCTTAAACATTGTTAGGTATTATATTTTACTGTTGTTATTCTTAAGGCATAATATACAAGTTTCTTTTTAAAAAAATTAAAGTAAAATCTGACTGCTTTCTAAATTTATAATGAAACAGTAATAACAAAAATAACAGAAAACCAAGAATTATTTAATACAGGTTTGTAAAAATTATAGATCAAAATGGTCCTCTAAAACAATTTACAGATTCAAAAACTCACTGCCACATAATCAAAACAGACTCACAGCTGACCCTCCAGGAGGAGTTTGCTCATCTTTCTCTCACAGGTGGGTATAAATCGTCAGAAAGGTCTCAACTCTCTATGAACTACACCATCATAGTTTTTATTTTATTCAAACAAGTATAAAATAAATATAAAAATTATATATAAATATATTTTATCTTCTTATAATTTTATATTTATATGGATATGTTTACAAGCCTTAATAAGGCAATTAAACAATAAGCATCTAAATGCAGGTGATTGTAGCTCTGGAGAAATCAAGACATTATGTCAACTTATCTTAAAGGGAATGTCCTAAATTCTTTTTTGGTATAAATGCAGGGACATACTTACCTCGACAATATTCCATTAATATAAGCACTTCCCATACGTTGTCACTAATTGAATTAACAGCACTGTCCAAATACCCCACAATATTTTTGTGGCCAGATAGCTCTTTCTGTAAAACAAAATGGAAAGAAATTGAGGAATCAAAAACAAGATGTTTACCCTAAAATAACAGTCTCCAAAAGAGAACTGTGGTTTGCCACTGAGTTGGAACCAATTCATATCGAACCCTTCACCAGGTTTTCAGAGGCTGTAAAACACACGAGAGGAGATTGTTCATCATTCTCTATGGAGCAGCTGCTAGAACGGAACTGCCCATCTTTGGGTCTGTAGCACAAATTCTTACCACAAAGGCATTAAAGTTTCCTTAAAAAGAGAGTATATAAGATAAAATGGATTTATTTATATTTCTTTAAATCTAATAAAATAAAAATAAGCTTAAATATTTATGAACTAAATAGTTACATATTCTCATTTATTTGGGCTGTAATGTGTACCTAGTTAAATATAGTTATGGGTGTATGTATTATTAATTAAACAACTCTAAAATGAAAATAGGATGAAAAGAAATTATCAATAAAAATACTAATATAAGTGCAATGAAATAGAAAATGCCAGTTTTGACAATTTTAATTCTAGTACAAAATAACTATCAACTTATCATAACATTAAAATAATGACTTAATCAGTTTTATATGAAAATTAAAAACAATTATCAAAATATTACTTTAAATGACCTTATATCTGTATCATTAAATAAGACTAGTTGTATATAGGATTGCTTTGGAGAGGGACATCATGCTGAGCAGAGTGGAGGGACAGTGCAGGAAGGGAAGACCCTCTATGAGGTGGATTGATTCAGTGACTTGGGTAATCGGGATGGATGTGTCAGAGGCAATGAGATCGGCACAGGATAGAGCAGGATTTAGGGCTGTTGTACATAGGGTCGCTATGAGTAGCAAACGACTCGATGGCACATAACAACAACAACATACATCACAAGTGACTAAATGGCATATAACAACAATAACATACTATGACAGGTTTGAAAGCAGGAGTGGCATCCACTTCCTAAATAACATGCCTCCAGAAATTGAACTTTGATCAATGTCGAGAGTTGTAGAGGGGCTTCAGGCCTTTTGTTAATAGGGTCACTGAGTCGTGCTTGACTTGAAGGCAATCAACAACAACAACAACAGTTGCAAATGTGTAATTTGAGATAGTGACTACTGGCAGCTAAATATGTGAGTAATTTAGAAATAAATTACATAATCAAAACTCAAACTGGTTGCAATCACCTCAGTTCTCTGAGTATTTGTGAGGCTCTCAGTGGCAGAAGAGGAGACTCCACAGATAGATTCAAAACACCCCAAGGCACCACCTTTAGATTAGCAGTCCTTATGAATCAGGCTATGAGAAGGGGATCAGTTATCAAGAGTGGGAAGACCACAGAAGATGTTCTGAATCTTGCTTCTGCTGACTGTATTTTTTATGTCTTACAATCAAATATATAAATTCTGTGAAAGGAAGCAATATATCACAACAGTACAAAATCTGGACAAAATAAAGGAACTTTGTCTAAACTTAATGTTATCTTTCTATCCTTTTGGCCCAGAACTACATTTTAAAAAGCAAGGTTCAAAATCTAATCAACTGCAGCCAAGCTAAAGAATAACAACAACAAAGAAAAACTTTAAAAACCCAGATTTACATCCTCTGAAAGCTTGATGGAGGTCTAGCTGTGAGGCAGTTTTGACTAGAAGGCACATAGCAATTACTATTAATAATAAAAGTGACCACAATTTATTTGCTGGCAAATATTTCAATACCAAATAAGAAATCTCTCCCTCATAACAAGTGGTTAGGACGTACAGGAGATTCAAATTATGAGTAAATTAACATTAGTACTGAGCACTCACTATGAAACTGGCATATAAATTCATTAATTCTATGTTATTCCGTCATGCAAAAAAAAAAATACTAAAGTCTAATTTTCATGATCATCTACTACAACTCTAAACTATTTTTACAAACCCCTATTACCCAAAAATAAAAATTTCTGAAACTAAAAACTATAGCATAAAGATTCCCTTAACGTATGATCTGCCTATTTTATCTTTCATTTGAGTTATAAGCAACTCGGCTCAATTACTCTTTCCCTTCTTTCTTAATATTCCGAGTCGTCGTTGCTATAGGCTGTGGAGTCCAGTATGAACCATTCAAGTATGATCCTGTGCCTCTGCACAACTTCTGAGAGAGAGTGTGTGTGTGTGTGTGTGTGTGTGTGAGTGTGTTTTCTTTTTTTGTTAGTTAAGCTTGCCAGTGGTTTGTCAATTTCACTGACTCTTTTGAAAAACCAGCTCCTGGTCGTTAGCTCCTTATAATGTCTTTTTTTCCAGAGGCTGTAGGATTCGATTGTTGTTCTTTTTCTATTTGATGAAGATGTAAAGTTAGATCGCTGATTTTTTTTCTTCCTTCTTCCTTCTTCCTTTTTGCTTTTTCAGGTATGTGCCTATTGCTATGAACTGTTCCAAGGACAGCCTTAGCTGCATCCTTGAGGTTCTGGCATGCTGTATTTTCATTTGTTTCAAGGAACTTTTTAATTTCATTATTTCTTTTATAACCAAATCATGTTATAGCAGAGCGTTATTTAATTTCCACATGGATGGCTTTGTAAACTTTCCCTCCTGTTTGATTTCTAACTATATGGCATTGTGGCCTGAGAAGATACTTTGTTACTATTTCAATGTTATTTAATTTGTTAAGGCTTGCTTTGTGTCCTAATATGTGACTGAGTCTGGAGAACGAACCATGTGCACTTGTGAAGAAGGGAAACTGAGTTTTAGTTGGGAGCAGTGCGCTAAATACACCCACAAGTTTGAGCTGGATGACTGTATAGTTTAGATCTTCTGCATCTCTGTTAAGTTTCTTTTGAGTTGACAGATATTTTGGTGAGAGCGATGTGTTGAAACATCCAACCACTATTGTGGTGCTATTTCTTTTTTCACTTATGTTAACCATTGTTTGATGTATTTTTGCATTTGGTGCCAGTTTAAGGACTAAGATGCGTCTTATTCAAGCCATAGGCTGACTACTTGCTATGCATCTGAAAGCTAGACAATGAAAAAGGATGGCAGAAGAACTGCCCCTTTGAGATATGTTGTTGAAGAGCACTGAACATCTCATGGCCAGCCAGAAAAACAAACATATATGTCTTGGAAAGGGTACATCCAGAGTGCTCGCTCTTTGGAGGCCTCACATACTTTGGGCATGTTGTTAAGAGGTGCTACTCCTTGGAGAAGGACAGGATGCTTGGAAGGGTTGAGGGCCTGTGAAGGAAAGCAAGACCCTCAATGAGGTGGATTGACATAGTGACTGCTGCAATGGGCTCTTGTGTTTTAGGAAGTGTGAGAATGGCACAGGATAGAGCAAGGTTCAGATCTTTTATTCAGAGGGGTTGTAAGTCATCCTCGACTCAAACACACCTAACGACAACAAGAACAATCATCTGGTGCATAAATGTTGAACAAGGTAATGTCTTTTTTGAAACTGAGATTTTAACAAAAGTTTATAGAGAACTAGGATTTCCATTCATTCACTGTACATTTTCCTCCCTGCCCCCACCCCAGTTCGCTTTTCTCTTTAGCTAGGGGTGGAGGGGAAATCTTTCATTATTGTACAATTCACACCCCCACTCCAGTCCACTTTACTATGCAGCTCTTATTCTGGACTGTTATCATAAATAACATCTAATCATATATTCCTTATTAGCAGTTATTTCTCTTATGTGTTTCCATGCAGTGTACATTATTTATCCCCTTCTTTGTTAGTTTCCCCCCAACCCCGATGTCAGTCCTGTTTTACAACAGTGGTATTAGGTAGTATTTGTCCTTTTGTGGCTGAGATATTTCACTCAGCATAATGTTCTATAGGGTCACCCATTTTGAATAATATTTCATGAGTTCCTAGTAATGTCTTCTTGACTTTAATAAGCTATGTAATGATCTTATTTATCTTTTATGGTGGTTTTCATACTGAAGTCTATTTTATCAGAGATCAGTATTGTCACGCTTTCTTTTTTTGTAGTTGCCATTTGCATGGCAATTTTTTTGTAAA